CTACACTTCACATTAATATTTTGTATGTTTAAAAATGGAAAGCAGAGCAATTTCTAACTGGTACTTTTTAGTTGGGAAAAATATGCTAATGAAAGTGTTGAGTTGAAGTTTGCCACTTTACATTTAATCTTTTCACTGGAAAACAATGCTCATACCAAAAATGGGATATAAAAACCATTCAGAGTAAGTAAAATTTCCATTAACTTTTGTATCATATTTTGATGATTTTTGGCTTATTCCTTAAATTCAAACTTCAACATCATCAGTTTCACACCCTAACAATATAACTTACTTTGACTGGATGTTGAACACACCATTTCTCGGGGGGGAGGTGGATTGGCTTTTTTTCTGAAGTAGTATAATGCATTTTAGTTTCCTCCTCTACCTTCCATCTCATTTTGACAGCCAAATTCACGGTAGACTTTTCAATACTAACAAGAGTTTTAGGGAAATTATACTGGTGAATAAACATCCAAAAATAAAACAACTGCTGTTTCCTATTCTCATGACTTTGTCTTTGACTGACGAGCTCTGGTGGAGATTTTTAAAGCACAGTTATGTGTCTGACCCCAGTAAGCTTTGAACTTGAATGACAGTTACTCTGCTGATGAACTAGCTGTAAAATTAGTTTAAAAAGGTTTTAATAAAATGGTTAATAACCTTCTGTGATTGTTATTTTTCAAGATGTGTTGCTTGTGTCAATCCTGTGCTAGTTGGAGTTTTTTACCTTAGTGGTAGCCATAGGGCTGGTCCTAGCGCCCCCCGGAGTCTTGAGCACATGCACTGGTATAAAGGTTGTCACTTACTACAGTCACTCGGAAGGATAAGGAGAGGAGGTCATGGAATGGATATGAGCAACACATCTCAGAGAACAATTGTTACTAAAAGTTAGTACTGATTTTTCTTGAAGTGTTTATTTATATCAATTCCATGTGAGGTGACACACAAGCAGCAACTTTAGAGGTGGGTTTGAGAGTTCACAGACATGCTGTCTGCAACACTGCTCTCCTGAAACTAGCATTGTCACAGGCCTGCTGGCGATGGCATATGACATAAAGTGGGATATGAAAGTATGAACTGATGACCACGTCATGGCCCTGCAGATGTCCTGGATTGGTCACAAGGAATGCTACTGATGAAGCTTGGGCTCTTGTGGAATGAGCCATCATGATAGCTGGAAGCAGAACTTTTGCCTGATCATGGCAAGCATGGATGGAGGCAGTTATCCAAGACAAGATTATCTGGGATGACACTGGTAGTCCTTTCATCCTGTGCTCCACAACTACAAAAAGCTGCTTAGTCTTACAGGTTTATTCTTTATTATATAGAAGGCAATCACCCATCTAATAACTAATACATGTAGTTGCCATTACTCAGTGGTGCTGTGAGCCTTCAGAAAGAAAACAGGCAGAAAAACGTTCTGCATGATATGCTTCTCTTTTTGGGAAGCCTTGCAAAAGCAAGAAGAGCATTCCAAGTAACCGTCTGGAAGTGCCCCTTATACCAGAGCATATGCTTGAGTTTCCCAGGGGCACGAGGGTCAACCCTATGGATACCTTATAAGGGGGAAAAAAATCTCCAGCAACTGTACACATGGTGTACGCACACATCTAGGACTGAACTGACATGAGCAAGCACTCAAAGAAAAAATACTTTTCACAACAAGACTGTGCTAGAGGACTGAGTAAAAAAAGACACTGCTCTTTGCATTGATGTGGATGTTTTAAAGACATAAATGGATAATTATTACCTCCAGCCCCTGTGCTTTCTCTATTGGATGTTCTTTGCTAGAAAGATACATGTTCATCTGGAAGATGGATCGCCCTTTTAATGTGTACAAGGGTGAACCTGGCTGAAATTCATCTGCTTGCCAGCAATACTCACTATCAACATTGCTAAAGCACCCTATCAACATGGCAACATCCCTAGGGATGGTGTTTCCATGGAAATCACATTGGAGACAGTCAGCTGATGTCTGGTGCTACTCGGGCACTTGTTTTTAACTGAAGAAGCTCTCCTGTAATTTCCTATCTCCCTTAACTGCTTATTGCTCATATTTAGTAGCAAAGACTGTCCCTTTTTGCATGACTGATTAGTGCAATTCAGATCCTGGCATTTGCACTGTTTCCTTGTCTCTTTACAAAGGAGTCTTTGATTTCGTGTATGGAATTACAAACCCTATTTGCTTGAACATGCTACACACATTGAGGAATCTGACATTAGTTAGTCTGGAAACTTACTTATGTCACACTTAGGTCATGATTTTTTTTAATCCAGGCAGGGGGAAAAAAAGTCAAAGCTCTCTGGAAAAGGCGAAAATTCAAGGGACTTTGGTATTTTTGTTTGAGATGTCATTCCTTACCCCCAACCTTTTACAGCCTTGATTGGATTAATGTTTTTCTATTCTCAGATTCTCCTATAAACCAAATGTGTTGGGAGTAGTTTTAATGCAGCATTCATACCAGGGAGAGGGCCCCGTTCGTAACTTACCATTCCCAGCTTCTGACAAACAGATGCTAAGAACACCATTCCTGCCCAACTTGGCTAATAACCATTGATGGACCAATCCTGGCCTATAACCAGGGCTTGACAAATAATGTAATCTATTCGCCCGTGGTGAGTAGATTACAAGCCGGCACAGCGCGATCTGTGCATGCGCAGCTCACAGAACCACGCGGCTGGCGAGCAGGGCTCCGTGCCGCTTGGCGAGCCCTATATTTATATATAGACTATTTAGCATCTCTGTGATGACAGAACTTAATCAATGATCATGTTAGTGGTAAGATTGTGTTAGGGTCTTCCATAACAGTTAAGTACTTTCCTTGAGCCATTGTCCTGACAGAGCCAGGATCAAGATAGAACTTCAGTTTTAGACGCAATAAGGAGTTACTGTGTGTTAAACCAGTTCTCTAACCATCTGATCTGTTCTGCTATTTAGTCCACAAAGTCACAGACCACTACTTTGAAAGAAAATAGTTTTCCCATTAACTTATTAGGATGTCACACAAGGGCAAGTACTTTAAGTGATAAACAATAAAAAGGAAAGGAATATTCAATATTCCTGTTATATGAAATAGCCTTGGAAATTAAGAGGAAAGATAAACAGTATACATTTATAGACTCTGCTGTGATGGCCACCATCAAAGTCTGAACATCTTCTAAACAAAATGTTCTTTGAATTTGTTCATGTGTCAGCAAATTTTAAATTGAATGAACTACAAAATAGTCAGAGAACCACACTGCCAATTTATAAGGTTAGTAATATCTACCAATTTAGATTATCAAAACATTCTCAGAGGAAAACAAAAATGATCATTCATACTCTAATTGTACTGTCTTGCTTTACATATACTGTATAAGAAGTTACATAAAATCTCCAACCTGAGCCCAGCTTCCCTCCTCATCTTCCTGATGTTATGTGGTTAGAAAAGCAAAAGAACACACAAATATTAGTATTTATAAGTTTAGTACTATGAGAAAAGTTAAAATTTAGTGCATATACAATATCTTTATGGCATGCAAAAAAAATCTAAAGAACCCAAGCAGCATGCATTTAAAAACAAATACAACATTCACTGCAAGTAGGAAAATGCTTGTACTGACTGGGTTTTCTGAAAAGAAGAAATTCATGTGCAAATAAATTAACTTGGCTGTACACACACAGTCAGTCTGCCTGCAATAAGAATCAATGTTGATTTTGTTTTTGATTTTGTCCCCAAGGGAAAAGAGTAAAGTGTGAATTAGAGAGTCATATAGGGTTAGTATCTAAAGGAAGCCATAATCCAAAATACTTAAGCTTTTTAATACTTTCATTCTTTTGGAAGGCTAAAAGGCACATGATTCAAGCAATCAAAAAGTGGGAAAAGCACCATAAAGAACAGAAGTTGCAGTGCTGTAACTAACCGTTTGTGGCGTGGCTGTAAGATTTTCCATTTCTTCATGTGTTACCCAGACATTTCCCGTGGTCTAATATGACCCCACAGTGAACCAATCACATCCAGTGAAAGGAAAGCAGTAACAAAGAGGAAAGGTTGCAGAATATATAAGCAATAGGTACATATAAGGAGCAGGCATGGGCAAAAGCAATGGTTTCTAAAGTTGAAGTACAAATTTACTTAAAATGATTATGTAGACTAAAGGTACACTGACATGGGACATCTTCCTTCAAAGATTATTTAACAATCACAAAGTGTGTTAAATAGTTTACACCGATGTGATTAATAAATCAACCATGACAAGAACCGTAATGTTGAACAAAATTCTAAATATTCATTTTAATAATGTCTCTCTTATATTAGTTCTCTTTAACTACATTTTTTCCTTTGGTATGGAACATGTATGTCTGGACAATAAATCTAACAAAATTGCAATCTTAGTTTTTTATTAAACATTTTTGTAATTCTGCACTTTTAAAAGCATTTTTGAATTTTTTTTCTGTCACAATTCACAGTGGGTAGTAATATTAATCTATTAAATGTCATTCATTTTGCTGAAATTACTACCAGTATTAATAAGAAGCTCCTGCAATAATCATTTGTTCTCTGTTCAAGCCCGAAATATATCCAGAAATATGGTAGTCAGAATAACCATGCAGGGCAAGATCCACATACCGTATTTTCCGGCGTATAAGGCAACTGGGCGTAAAAGACGACCCCCTAATTTATTAGTTAAAAGATAGGTTTTCGTCTTATACTCGCCGTATAAGACTACCCCCCCTTAAGAGGCCAACCGGCAGCGCCCTAGCGCCCCTCCGCCTCCCCAGCTTTGCTCCCGGTGTCCCTGGTCTGCTGGAGACGGTGCCCAGCAGACCAGGGGCACCGGGAGCC